AAGTGAGGTAGGGTTTCTGTATTTCACTCAGACTGGTAAATGACAACATCAGCAGTCTATGATGTTATATACATATAATAATAATACCAAGTGTCACCACTAAAAACACATACCAAAGGATACACTAAAAAAATGATAAGCCATGACCAAGTGGCTCAGTTGGTTGGAGTGTCATCCCGTGCCCCAAAAGGTTGCGGGTTTGATTCCTGGCCAGGACACGTACTTAGGATTGCTGGTTTGATTCTGGTCAGGGCAAGTACGGGAGGCAACCAATTGATGTTTCTCTCTCACATCAATGTTTCTCTCTCTCTCTTCCTTCCTCTCCTTTCGTCTCTCTCATGCCGACTGGTCATGAGTATATTCATGTTTGCCCTAAGATTAATTTAAGTAATTTTACGGTCTGAAAACAATGTAGAGTTTTAAAAGAGCAGAAAAGTAGCCAGCCACACAAGCAAGTTCTGGCTCCAGATAGCTGGTCATCGAGGTGTTAAGCATATCCTCAGGTGAGAATTAAAAATAAGATAGGTAGATAAATAAAAATGGAATTCTAGAAAATGTTTAACCCACAGGAGGCAGGAAAAATAAAACAGAGAAACAATAAAGAGAAAACAAAAAATAAAATGGCAGGCTTAAGCCCTAGCATATCAGTCATTACATGAAATGTAATTATACTAAATATGTCTAAATATTCCACTTAAAAATTAGCAGACTGCCCTAGCTGGGTTGGGTCAGTGGTTAGAGCATTGACCTGTGGACTGAAGGGTCCCAGGCTCAATTCCAGCCAAGGGCACGTACCTCAGTTGCAGCTCAGTCCCTAGCCCCAGTCAGGGTGCATTCAGGAGACAACCGATCGATGTGTCTCTCTCACATCGATGTTTCTCTCTCTCTTTCTCTCTCCTCCCCCCTTCCACTCTCTCTGAAAGCAATGGAAAAAATGTCCTCGGGTAAGGATTAAGAAAAACAAAACATGATCCACATATGCACACCTTAGTTACGTCCTAGGAAAAAAGAGTATTTCCTAGAATAAAAATAAGGTATAATCGTTACCTTACCTTACCTGTGTCGCTCTCAGAAATATAGGAGGAATTACCTGCCCAAGCCTTCCTACATTAGATATATTACTGTACTCTGCAATTTGAGCAAAAACTTAAATCTCCAGGCTTTTTAAAGCACAAAATATAAATAAAAGCTGGGAAAGTAAACCAAATTCTTCAGATTGTTCCTCGTGAATATCCCTGTTCATCTGCAACTCCCCAGAGTGATGAGCACAGATTAGTGGAGGCAGCACAGGTGAACACCCAACCTGACTCTCAGTTCATTCCTCCTTCTCCTCCCCCTCATCCTCCTTCTCCCCCTCCCCCTCCTCCACCTCCCAGAGGCTCAAGGCAGGGCCCTTCCAGTCCTCACAACCTGCCCTTACTCCAGTGCCTCCTGACTAGAGGCTGGAGGCTTTGAGCCCCACAATATGGTGACGCAGAGTGCTTTTTTACTGCCTGGCCTTACTTAAAGGAAATGCAGTAGGCTTCCTCTGTAGAGTTCTGAGAACGTTGACTGTAGTGAAGTCTTGTATGTTTTTACTTGGTCAAGTATTTCTCACAAATTTTGTTATCAGAGTACCATTCCAATCTTTAATTTGCAGTTGTGTGGAAAATGTTTTGTAATGAACGATTGAGCAGCATTTAATAAAGTCTGTATTTTGCATAAAAAAAGAAGACACTCACTTCAAATATAACAATATAGGCTGGTAGAAAGTAAAAGGATGGAAAAAGTTATATCATGCAAACTAATCAAAGGAAAGCCAGAGTGTTTACATTAATATTAGATAAGGTAGACTTCAGAGCAAAGTTAAGAAACTGACCAGAGACGGAGGGACATTGTATAACGATAAAAGGATCACTTCACCAAGAAGGCATAGCAATCCTAAGTGTGCAGTAAACAGCAGAACTGCAAAATATGTGAAGCAAAGCTGATAGAACTGAAAGAAGAAATAAATCCACAATTGTAGATGGAGACTTCATCCTTCTCAACAACTGAGAGAAGAACTAGACAAAATCCGCAGATGTGTGGAAGATACTCAACACCGTCATCAAGAGGGTTTAATGACGTTGCCCAGCTGGGTGTGGCTCAGCGGTTGAGTGTTGACCTAGGATCCACGCAATCGGGGCTCGATTCCCAGTCAGGGCACATGCCCAGGTTGCGGGCGTGGTCCCCAGTCAGAGGCATGCGGGAGGCAGCCGATCGTTGACTCTCTCATCATTGATGTTTCTATCTCTCTCCCTCTCCTTTCCTCTCTCTGAAATCAATAAAGATATATTTAAAAAAAAAAAAAGAGGATTTAATGACGTTTCTACAGCACTCTGCCTGACAACAACAGAATGTATATTCTTTTCAGGTTCCCAAAATAGACCATATATTGGACCATAAAACAAACTTCAAATTTAAAAACATTGAAATCATATAGTGTGTTCTTCAACTACAGTGGGCTCAAACTTGAAATCATTAATTGAACATCTCTGCTGTTGGAAGGGTTGCATACTGTATAATTTCATTTATATAACATTCTTGAAATGACAGTTTTAGTAGTGAGGAACAGATTAGTGATTGCCGGGAATTGAGGAGGGTGGGGTAGGAGGGAAGTGGGAGCAAGTAAGGTAACGGCAACATGAGGGATCCTTGTGATGAATATATTCTGTCTTTTAATTTTATCAATGTCAGTATCCTTGTTGTAATATAGTTTTTTACTGGGGGAATCTGGGTAAAGGGTACATGGGGTTTCATTTTATTATTTCTTAAAACATCATGTGAATTTTCAGTGATCTCCAGATAAAAAGTTTATTTAAAAGAATAGAGATCATTAAGTGTTACAGAAGTGTTCACAACAAAGGAACATTAAACTGAGACTTTCTCCTTTACATAATCAATAATTGACTTGAAAATAACTTTGTCATGAAAACAAAACAGAACAAAAAATCTATATTAAGATACTATTTTCACCTGTTAGATTAGCAAAGCTCATAAAGTTTGATAGTATATTTGAGAAGATGTGAGAGAAACAGGTACTCTCATACACTCTTAGTGCCATGTATTAAGAGTAATTTCGCTAGTGGGTTTCAAAATTAAAAGTACACATGCCCTTTGACTCAAAGTTCCGCTTTGGAGTATGTATGCTACAGATCTATTTTCACAAATGCAACATGACGTGTTCAGTGTTACTCACTGTGGCATTGACCATAATAGCAAAAGATTGGAAGCAGTCTAAATATCCTTCAAGTAGGGGACTAGTTAAACTATTTTTACATCAAGAAAATGAACTGTGAAGCCATGAAAACGAAAAAACAAGGAAGCTCTTTACTTACAGTATTTTTCAAGATATTTTAAGTACAAAAAAGCAAGGTGCAGAACATTGTATATGCTTATTGTGTGTGTGTATGTATATATACACATACATATAAGAACTTAATTGTATATGCAGAGAACATTTTTGGGTTTTGTTTGTTTTTTCTTTTTTTAATCCTCACCCAAGGATATTTTGTCATTGCTTCTCAGAGAGAGTGGAAGGGGGAGAGAGAGAGAGAGAGAGAGAAGCATCGATATGAGAGCGACACATCGATTGGTTGCAAGGGGTTGAGCTTGCAACCAAGGTACGTGCCCTTGGCCAGAATTGAACCTGGGACCCTTCAGTCCTCAGGCAGACGTTCTAACAACCAAGCCAATCTGGCTAGGGCCAGAGAGAGCATTTTTGAAATGATACTTAAGAAATTGCTTTCTGGAAGAGCTGAGTAGCCAGAGACGAGATATGGAAGGAAAATTTTTGGTATATCTTTTGAATTGTTAATTATATGAATATATTACTGAGTCAAAAAAAGTAAATTTAAAAATATTGTGATTGCGCAGCCAGGTGTGGCTCAGCGGTTGAGCATCAACCTAGGATCCAGGAGATTGCAGTTCAATTCCCGGTCAGGGCACATGCCTGGGTTGCAGGCTCGATCCCCAGTTGAGGGTGTGCAGGAGGCAGCCAATCAGTGACTCTCTCATCATTGATGTTTCTGTCTCTCTCTCCCTCTCCCTTCCTCTCTCTGAAATCAATAAAGATATATTTAAAAAATAAATATATTGTGATTGAATCAATTTCATAGTAATGGCATAAAAATCAATTTGTTTTTCATATGTTCACCCATTAGTAGGTGATATTGATGGGTTAAAAGACATGTCTCTTCACATGGTACAGAGATTTTATTTTTATAATTCTTTATTAGATATTCAGATTTTATTATTTAATAACCCGCATAAGTGATTTCTCTGAGTGGAGAGATACAAGCAATGTTTCAGTTTTGTTCCCCATTATTTAATTTTCTACAGTGAACTTAAGTTGCTGACTTCCATGCATCACACAGGTCCAGGGAATGTAATTCAGTGCAGCCCCCCTGATATTAGCATGTATTATGTCTATAATTTAAAAATCTTTTCATAGATTGATTCCTAGTTCATTGCATTTGAAGTATACTTAAATTCTACATTTTTATATTCTTGTTCTGGGCTAATGATAGGTACTAATAATTAGGAAGGTAGTTTTGAGGAGTAAATATGACACGCCTAATTAATCATTTTGTCAAAGTGGCATTACTGTTTTAACTTTTCCCGGAATCATTTCCAGTCTTAATTTTTGCTACTTGATTTTAATCTCTGGCCTTGGTGTCCCCCCACTGCCTTTACATGTACCATTAGCACCTAGTAGCCTAACTGAAGATGCATAGTGCATAGCAGTTCATTTCTTTTCTAATTAACTCCTATTAATTAGGGATCTTGAAATACTTAAGAAAAAAATTCCAGAATGAACAGAGCAGCTCTAATTGATAATTCTACGTCAAGCATTGATTGATAACATACAAAAGACATTTGTTCCCCATGTTTTTACAAAGTGAAAAATTCAATCTTTTTCAACAGCGAGTTTTTTGAATTTTATTTAGTTGATTAATATTATGTCTCTTCATTGTTTCTAGGTAAATCTTACAAACCATTGTGGTTTCATGGGAGGACTACAAAAAAACAAAAGCACTGGATTGACCACGCCATATTTTGCTACCTCTACAATGGAAGTAATATTTCATGTATCAACAAGAATGCCTTCTGATTCTGATGACTCTTTAACCAAAAAAGTAAGCGTTGAGAGAAAAGTGCTTGGTTAAAATTCTAGTATTTAAGAAAATTATTACATAAAATATGTAAGTACGCTAATTGATAAAACACTAACTCTGAATACTCACCCAATACCATCTTCAGAAACAGTATTGTTATAGAACAAACTGTTTTCTTAATGATGTGATTGAAGGTTATAGTCTTAACAGAAGATTTGCCTTCAAGAAAGTGGAGATAAGTCCTCGCTGATTTGGCTCAGTGGTTAGAGTGTTGGCCCGAAAACTGAAGGGTTCCTGGTTCGATTGGCTTGATCCCCGGCCCTTGTCAGGGCACGTGCAGCAGGCAACCAATGTGTGTCTCTCATATCGATGTTTCTCTCTCCCTCTACTCTCTCTGAAAAAGCAATGAATAAAATATCTTCTGGTGAGGATTTTTTTAAAAGAAGAGCTTGAAAATGTTCTTTCCTCTACAGGGCGGGGCAAGAGGTGTTCCATTGTTTGGGGCATTTGCTCTGCCCCCCCCCCCCCC